GCCCTCATTGCGTGCCTCCTCGAGCCCTTCTCCTCGAGGACAGTCCTGCCCTGCCACAGTGAAATCGCAGCGCACACGCCGCTCGATATGCAGCGCTGACCAGTTCCGTGATGATGATCTACGCAGTCTCATGCGTTCTCCGAAACGCTCTCGAACAGCATCCGCTTCTGCCCTGCGGAGATCTCGGCGACCCTTCACCTTTGTTCCCTTCCAAACGAGCCACCCGTCCATCGCTGTCCCCATTGACAAGTTGCAAGCATTACTGTCATGCCTTTCTACATCATGGACGGAAGTGTCTTTCTCCCTGCGCTCGTCGCCGACCAGGACATTACCATTGCAGGTGTGTGCGGCATCAGCGGCGGTGAAGCATAGGTGTCGTATACGATAGACCTTGTGGATTCGTCCCGCCTTCAGTTTGAAAAGTTGCCTTGCATTGCGTTGTTCAACACATTCTCATTGCGTCAGGGTTGTCATGGCATGAGTGTTTCGCCGCAGATTCAGTGGCTTTGCGATTTCTTTCAGCGGCCCTGCGACGACCCATTTTGCTGTTATGTACCCGCACTATTTTGAGTACCACATCGAGAGAGGAGTGGAATGGATTCGAATTTACACACCGGGTCCGTGGCAACCCGTAGCCACAGCTACTCTGGGACGTGCCCCAGACTACGCTTCCACGTATCGGGAGTCGCGCAAGTCATATCACTTTGACGTGTACGTGCCCGCAGACAGCACCGGAGGAACAGCTGCGGACCCCAATGTCATGCCCATTTCGTATGTGTCATACCACGGTGCCTTGGCGTTCCACTACCAGCCATTGGATCGGCGGCGCTCGTGAATGAAGAAGTTACTTCCTCATCGGAGTCTTCAGTTCCGGATGGGGCGTGGCGGGAACCTTCTCCCCCACCATTCTATGATCCTTGGAACGAATCGGATTGATACTTGAGCAACATGTCGGTTAAAATGATGCGATTGTGCCTGATTTGATTGCTGCATCAACTTGGGTTGTCTTGACTTGCGTTGTGCTTTCCGTCTCCATGTTTTCGCCGCTCCCTTTTGCCTCAAAGCGGCTTCCCGGGTTGATATGTTCAATTCTACAATATATGGCACTGCAAGATGGACCCTACCACGCTACTTTGAGTACGACATCGTCAATGGCCCTGCGAGCACAAGCGTTGAATGGATTCGGGTCTATGTACCTGGTCCGTGGCAACCAGTCGCCGAAAACACCTTGGGACCGGCCCCGGAGGACACAACCACCTATCGGGAATGGCGCAAATTCTACCACTTCGACGTGTATTGGCCTAGTGACAGCACAGGCGGCACCAGTATGGGCTCTGTTTCCCAGCCGGTCTCATATGCGTCCTTTTATACATGGCAGTATCGTGACTGGGTCACCAGAGGATATCAACGGCTCGGTCATCCGCAACCCAACATTGCACGTCCAGTTTTCGCTTCGGGATCACCAGACCTCATGTACGCTGGACTGTCCTCTTCGTCGGCATCCTTGAACTTAGATGGTGGCTGATGTTCGTCCTCGTCTTTCCTGGATATTCAATTCAATTTGATTGGGGCGAGTGACTTCGACACCTGAGCCGCGCCTTGCTACAAAAGTGTTTGCTTGCATGTTTGCTGTTGTGTCACATGTAGTACTGGTAGTCTGCAGCCGTACACCTCTCAATTTGTCATCAAGGGTTTGAGTTGTCATGCCGTGGCTGGAGTGGTGTCCGGATCCTCAACAGCCAGATGCCCAGTGGGTCAAGATCTTTCACCCGGCATCATGGACTCCACAGGACGAACATGATGCTCCGCCTCCGCCTCATACATACAGAGAGTGGAAGGAGTTCTATGTCCCAAATCCTGATCAAGAAGGTGCGCAGCCCAACAACAGCATTTGGTACAAAAGGGACTGGGCCACAGAGGGCTATCGGCGAGTCGCTGCCCCTCAAGCTGGTCACGACTTCGGTTCGATGTCTTTTCCTGATCAACATAGCGTGGCCACGCAATCCTCGGCTTTGTGTATGTCACCGCAAATGTTGGATGCGATTCTTAGATCATCGGATGCGGCGGCTTTCTCCACTGAGGATCTCACTCGTCTTCAAGATGGGATCTCTCAACAACTGTCGGATCGCGCGCGTCATGCATCCCAACAACACCAACCAGTACGTGCATCTTGTGGAGTTGCACCACCAGAGTCTATTGGGGTCTCTGATCCATACCTGCCTACGACCCAATCATGCAGCTCCACCGCCAAGGAGAAGCCTATCTTCGAGCTAAATGATGACTAGACTGATGCGTGTTGGGCATGGCACAAAAGGGTGTTTTCATGCTTGTGCTTCCTTGCTTGGTTGCTGATTGCGCATGGTTGCACATGTTGACTGTTTCTTTGCTAGCTGGATCTGAACCCGCGGTACGCCCTGTCTCTCACTTCGGCATGGACATCGAGGATGCAAAGCAGTACCCATGGCTCGAATATTCGGTCTGGCAGGATCAGGAGTGGGTGCGGATCTATACTCCGGGACAACCTCAGCTGTGGCAACCAGGAGAAACCGTACCTGACCTACCAGACAACTCGTTTCGGGAGTGGAAGCCGGTAACTGATCCCATTGGTGGGACTGGTGAACACAGTCAGGCGTGGACTATTCGCGACTGGCAGCATCAAGGATACCAACGCATTCTTTCTCGCTGGGAGTCCTTCTCCACACATCATGCCCGTGATCAATCACTTGTTGACGTGCAGAATTCGGACGCAATCCGAGTCGAGGAAATGCTCACCTATGCTCCCCCTATTTCTGACGGTGATCGCTCGACTGCTTTGCAATTCCCTCCAGTCTTCTATGGCGACACCCGTAACGCTCATCGTGGTGATCTTTCGCTCCCGTCTTCTGAGCGGCTTAGGGCAGTTTCGCGTTCCCCTCGCCGCGGTGGATATTTTGGCAAACGATAGAGACACGAAGTTGAGCATGTGATCTTCCTGCAGAAAAAGAGACTTCTCGCCCCTCACTGAGGGGCGTGTGTGTGCGGAGTGACAGAATACCCTGTCACCAACATCAAGCTTTCACCTTTACCACAGGGGGATGTTGGGGACCTGTGCGGTCGGCATCCAACAAAGACGCCGCACTTGTCCTGTGATATCGAGGCTGATCATCTCGACGTACCTGTGCATTTCGTGTGATGCAAAGTCCTTTTGGCCCCCTTGGTTGCGGCGCTGTTTGTGCTTCTTGTTCTTTCGGGTAACGTGTTCGCTGCTAGAGGGAAGCCGAGTGCATCGCGAGCAGAACCCAGTCGAGACTCATCAGTTGTACTTGAGACTCATCAGTTGTACTCGAAAGATTAGCATCCTCCATCTGGAGTTTAAGTGTGTGTTTGTTGTCTTGTCTGTGTGTGTTTGATTTTTTTGTTTGCTTGCTTTTTGGATTGTTCGCTTGTTTGTTTGTGTGGTTGTGCGCCGCACTGTTTTGTTTGCTTGTTTGTTCGTTCCTTCACTCGCTTGTTTGTTTGTCTGTCCGTCCGTCCCTCCGTCCGTCTGTCTGTCTGTCTGTCTGCCTGCCTGTCTGTCTGTCTGTCTCTCTCTGTCTGTCTGTCTGTCTGTCGGTCTGTCTGTCTGTCGGTCTGTCTGCCTGCCTGCCTGCCTGCCTGTCTCGTCTGTCTGTCCGTCTGTCTGTCTGTCTGTCCGTCCGTCCGTCTGTCTGTCTGTCTCTCTCGTGTGTCTTGCTTCCTCTCTGCTGGTTGTTTGCTTGGTTGCTTGCTTGGTTGGTTGGTTGTCTGGTTGGTTGCCTGGTTGGTTGCCTGGTTGGTTGCTTCGTTGCTTGGTTGCTTGGTTGGTTGGTTGCCTGGTTGCTTGGTTGCTTTGTTGCTTGGTTGTTTGTTTGGTCGGTGGGGTCGGTTGGGTTAAGTTAGGTGGATTGGGGTTGGTTTGTCGCTTGGCTGTATGCATGTTTGTTTGTTTCGCTGTGTCTCTTTCTCTTCCTTCCTTCCTTCCTTCCTTCCTTCCTTCCTTCCTTCCTTCCTTCCTTCCTTCCTTCCTTCCTTCCTTCCTTCCTTCCTTCCTTCCTTCCTTCCTTCCTTCCTTCCTTCCTTCCTTCCTTCCTTCCTTCCTTCCTTCCTTCCCTCCTTTCTTCCTTTCTTCCTTCCTTCCTTCCTTCCTTCCTTCCTTCCTTCCTTCCTTCCTTCCTTCCTTCCTTCTTTGCTTTCTTTCTTTCTTTCCTGCCTGCCTGCCTGCCTGCCTGCCTGCCTGCCTGCCTGCCTGCCTGCCTGCCTTCCCTTCCTTCCTTCCTTCCTTCCTTCCTTCCTTCCTTCCTTCCTTCCTTCCTTCCTTCCTTCCTTCCTTCCTTCCTTCCTTCCTTCCTTCCTTCCTTCCTTCCTTCCTTCCTTCCTTCCTTCCTTCCTTCCTTCCTTCCTTCCTTCCTTCCTTCCTTCCTTCTGTTTGTGTGTGTGTGTTTGTTTGGTCTTTGCGTGGGTATATTTATGCATGTGCTCGCGCGGCCTTTTCGTCTGTCTGCGCGCGCTGGCTTACATGTTCATTTGTTTTTTGCCTGTCTGTCCGTCTGTCCTTTGCGCGCGTGTGCATGCGGTTGCCCGCGCCTGCATGCGTGCGTGGATGGTTGATTTATTCGGCCGGTGGGCGGGCGGACGGGAGGGAAAAAACCGTTGCGGGTAACAAAAGAGTACCACACAAACCATTGCTCCCTGCTGCAATGTTTGAACCGAGGTCTGAAGCTAAGCTCATGAGCAATCCGAAGCTTGGTAAACAAACAGGCAGCATTTCTCCCTCTCTCACGTGAGAGTGGCAAATAGTGTAAGCCTTCGGCGCAAACTATGTTACATGACGAAACCTGAAGAAGCGATCTGCAGAACATCCGATTGGAAAATTGTCCGACCGACAATGCCTTAAAGCCGCGCGTCTGCCTTTGGCAGTCTATTCGTCACACGATGAAGCCCACAAAAGTCGCAGTGGGGCATTTCCACCTTCAAAGGAAGTCAAAACTTGCTGCCCAAGGCACGTGCCCTTGGCAAAGACTCTCAACATAAGCTCCGCTACAAAGAGCACTGTGTAGACGACCTGCAACCCATGCCCCCCATTGATGCTGCCTGCAGCGCCCAGTTGGTCACTACCACGTGTCACCATGATTTCTAGCTTGAACAAGCATGCAGCAGTAGAAACACCTACGCTTTCAACTGTAACGGCTTGCGTGCTCTGCGCCCCAACGCTGCTGCCGGCATTGGCGCCAATTGGCTACTTTAGATTTTGTATATTGTCAGCTGATGTTCTTTGACAGAGCCTCTTGTCTTGGCTGTCAGTGTGGATGTTGGCTTTGGGATAGTTTCGGCTTGGAGAGGGATCGTGTTCGGGTTCAGCTTGGTTTGGGTCAGTCTAGGGAGCATTCAGGTTTGTGGTGGGCTAAGACATCGTTTACGATGGGTGACATCCACCAACCTCCTACTGCCAAAAGGGGACAATTTATTCTTACACTGATCGTCAAGTCGTACGTTGCGCGTCGTCATCAGGCCTGCTGGACATGCTGGGATGCGTAACAATAATAATAATAGTAGTAATCATCATCCGCATCATCATCATCATCATCATCATCATCATCATCATCATCATCATCATCATCATCATCATCATCATCATCATCATCATCATCATTCGCTAAAATGTGTTTGTGTTTGCGTGGCAGATGCGGGGCGCCATACGTCCGCTGATGACAACGACGATGACGATCGCGATGAGGATAGTCATGATGATGATCAGGGCACCACACCTTCTTTGTTTCGCCGATGATGATGATGATGATGATGATGATGATTACGGACCCCCAGCATCACCCATGGGGCCTGATAACGACGATGGGGATGACGGTGGTCGCGATGACCACCGTGATGATGACGATCATGAGTATGCATCCCCAGCATCACCTAAGCAAATCGGAACGAGGATGAGGAAGATATTCATCACGATGAGAATGGTGATGATGATGATCATGGTTTGCGTCCCCAGCATCACCAGCGAGGACAAACGCTCACAATTGAATTCGAAATAAGAAAATGAAACCGATGATGATGATGATGATGATGATGATGATGATGATGATCATGATGATCATGATGATCATGATGATGAAGCACGCACGACGGGACGCTGTGCAAGCATTGGCCTGAACGTGAAGGGCTTGACACGCGCAGGGCCATTGCCGGTTGCATGAACTCTGTTCCAAATGGGCGTCCAACAATCGGTATTTCACGCCCTTGCTAACCCATTGTCTGGACACCCCGTTCAAAAACAGACTGTCTGGGTCACACGTTAGGCCTCGCTGGAAATGCTGGAGGATGCGCAATCATCTCGTCGTCGTCGTCATCATGTTTTTTTCAGGGTTTCACATGAACGTTAGAAGACCAGCGCGCACACCATAGACGTGAGCTGGGATGGCAAGCAGCAGCCTGCGCGCTTCTTGGTTACGAGTCCCCAGCATCACAAGCGAGGCCTAACGTCACATTTGAAATCGAAATAAGAAAATGATAACGATGCTTGTGATGTCGATCATCACAATGATGATGGCAACAATGATGGCGATGATGATGGCGATGATGTTGCAAGCTGGCACGACGGAACACTGTCCAAGCATTGGCCTGAAGGTGAAGGGCATGACACGCCAAGGGCCATGGCCAGTTTCATCAACTCTGTTCTGAATGGGTGTCCAACAAGCTGGCAATGCTGGAGGATCTGTCATCATCATCATCATCAGCATCATCATCACCATCACCATCATTACCATCACCATCACCATCACCACCACCATCACCATCACCATCACCATCATCACCATCACCATCATCATCCTCCTCCTCATCATGGTGATCAGCATCATCATAGCCCAAATCATTGTCTCACACAGTCTCAAATGTGATGTTAGCAACATTCGTCGCCCGTCCTGTCCTTGGTCCTCTTCCAGCAAAAATAATTAACGGGCATGTCGGACAGATTCCCATTTTCGCCTTAGGCTAGGTCATTCTTCGGGCGAAGAAAGCGCTCCAGGGATCTCCAATTCCATGGTCAGCTTGTCAACTCGGGCCGTGCCTGAAGGATCTGCAGCTCCAAAGACCGCGGTCCTGCCCAAGCGCCCGTGGCAAGGCTGCCCCGAACAAATCCGAGATCCAAGAGTCACCATATACGGAAGTATGGTCTGGAACTTGCGGTGGCAATCAGGATAATGCGGTGGTGATGGTGCTGATGATGATGATGATGATGATGATGATGATGATGATGATGATTATGATAATGATGATGCTGCTGCTGCTGCTGCTGCCTGCTGCTGCCGCCGCTTTCTCGGCGGCAAATGTGGCCGAAGTTCAAGAAGAACCCGTAGCACGGGAACGACTTGAGCAGGCTCTGCTTAAGAATGCATGCACTTGTGCGGGGCCTTTAAGAATAGAACTGGGGAATAGGAGCGGGCAGAAAACATGGACCTGTGCATAAATTGGTCTCTTCCACATGCGCCCGAACCACCTCGGTCGCGACGCGTGACTGAGGCCGAAACCGGACCACGGCTGCGCGCACTTTGGCTCCACTTCAATGTTTTTCACTTCGCCCGCGCAACCCTCTGCAGACTTTTGAGGGTAGACCTTCAAAACGTGTTTCTGTTGTTTGCGTTGTTCAGCTTGTGCTACTTCACCATGTGAATAACTCGCTCGCGCCACCCTCTGCAGACAGGAAGAGGAAGAAAAAGAAAAAAAAAGAAAGAAAGAGCGAAGAAAGAAAGAAGGAAGGAAGGAAGAAAGAAAGAAAGAAAGAAAGAAAGAAAGAAAGAAAGAAAGAAAGAAAGAAAGAAAGAAAGAAATAATAAAAGAAATAATAAAAGAACAAAAAAGAAAGAATGACAAAAGAGAAAGAGAAAAGAAAAAAGACGAAGACAAAAGAGAAAGGAGAAAAGAGAAGAAGGAAAAGCACCAAAAGAAAAAAAGAGAGACAGAGAGGAAGAGAGAGAGAGAGAGAAAAAAAGAAAAACAAGAGAGAGAAAACAGGGAAAGAAGCGTGCTCCAAACTATAGTTCGTTTTTGAAACTTCGGCCCCGTATGGAGCTTTGCGATGGTCCTCGTCTACTATCTATCATCTGAAACGAAATTGCCATGATGATTTGCGGAATTGTGCCCATGCTTCTGCTCCTATGCTTTCTCGCGCAAAAGGGCTGCAGGTGATCCTGATTGCTTGCTTGATGCGGTAGGGCTCCTCCTTCAATTCGCGCTTCCAGAACAACGCGATGGAATGGGTTGCGACATTGCCAATCGAGATCCCGGCCCCTTGGCTGTGCGCGACTCAAGGCAGGCCATCGCAACAGCCTTGCGCTCCAACTACAAACATTAAACCTTGAAAAGAACTCCACATGGGCATGCTCCAGCTGCCTTTGCGAGCTGCCTTTGCGCGATGGTCCAACCCCCGTCCCGCAGTCCTGGATCCTCCAACCCCTTCTCAACATCAACACCGATGAAGATTGCCTGAGATGGTGGGGTGTGCCCATCTCAGGGCTGGATTGTGCGCATGCAAAAACCTTGCTAAGAAGTCTGCTGAAAGTAGTCAGAGTCCAAGGTACAAGCAGGATCAAACGTACGGGGGAATGCATAATCTTGGAGGCAAGCAAAAAAGAAGCAAAGTACAGCATCCATTTGGGGTGGGCCGCCAAAAACATCAATGTCGAACGAGTGATACGAAGTGGGCGTCCAACTTCCGTCGTCTTTGGCCCGCGCGCTGCGACCGTTGCGGCCCAGGTGCGTTGGTGAGCACAACGACTGCAAAGAAGATCTCAAAGCCAGGATGCGCAACTAGGTGCTCAAGCATCCGGTTCTTCACTGAGCTGTTCGACTTCTCCTAAGAACATCAGAACACACAACTTGCAGAAGGCCATTCATTGCCTGCAGCGTCCCACATGCTTTATGCTAACAACACACAAGAAATGCCGTGAAGCAGATATCAGGTGGATTGGGAATCCCACTATTGGCAGCGCCTTAGCACAAAATGCTAAGGCACCTTGGTGGAGAGCGCTCTTGGTTCAACGAGGGCTTCAAATCAGGACGCTTTTGAGTGGTTGAGACCTGCAAAGCAGCAGGATCCATACTCTGATAGTTTGGAAGCCCTGGAGACTGACAGTCCAAAGCCAAAAGCATCACAGGATTGGAAGCGATTAGAATCATTGGAGGGCCTCTGCTTACATGATCCAGGGATGTCCGCCATCAACAGGTCGACGTCACACAGCAGTGTGTATCACATCAATCACAACACGGAAGGAAGCACACCCACCTGCATCCCATGCAGCCTCCTATCCCTCTGTACGTCTTCGATCCTCCAAGCCGTTTACTGCACAATAGCTTGTGACTTTTCAACAGTCGCATGGCGTCTAGCAGGACTGCCTCACTCAACAGCTCTTATGTTCCTAGCCTCTCTTAGCTCCTGCCGGGCTCGAATCACTTAAGGGGCCTCCCGCCTTCTCTCGATGGGAATACCGTTGGCGCTTCGCGCTTGCTGTAGCAACGCAGGCGCTCTCCTGCAGCTGCAAGTCCTGCAAGACGTCTAAAAACCTTCCAAGGCCGTGGTGGCAAATCAAGGACTTACAACTCCAATTTGGAAGTGTCAAACTTGCCTCGGCCGTCAGCCCCCCGCCCCCCAAACTCCAGGCATTGAACCCCCAACGCCCTACCCTCCCGGCTCAGCGCAGACCACCCAGCTTAAGGTCAGATCGTTGGCCGGCCCCTGCCGCTCGAGATCAAGTTCCTGGCAATCATTTTGCGCTCCCCAAACTACTCAGCCAGCTGGCATCATTTGCTCAAGCCCGCATCGCTCTGACGGTTCTGTTGCGCAGCGTTTACAATTCTGGGCCCCTCCGCGTAGCCAGCGCCCATGTCCACTTCAAATATTCCCATTGGCCGGCGCCAACACATTTACAAACTCCCTCCAAAAGAGAAAGCTGAGCAAGGCTGACCAAGTTCGGATCTCCGTCTGGGTGTAGCTGACGGGCAATGTCGCATTGGTTTGCATGGATCCGGACTTGTCCATGGATTCCTCCTGGTCTCCAGAGCCTGGCGCCATGCAGAAAACCACTGCTTCGCATTTAACCACCGTCCCAATCCAGTTTGGTGAGCAAGCCCTTGCATTGGTAGCAAATTGGCGAGAGAAACCCATGGCATCAGTCTTGCAAAATTGATATATTGACGGGAATGTGTCTGTTGGACGAGCGATGAACAAGGTTGTTGCAAGCAGCGGGAAACCCCTGCAGTGTGCGTGTGTGTGTGTATATGTATGTATGTATGTATGTATGTATGTATGTATGTATGTATGTATGTATGTATGTATGTATGTATGTATGTATGTATGTATGTATGTATGTATGTATGTATGTATGTATGTATGTATGTATGTATGTATGTATGTATGTATGTATGTATGTATGTATGTATGTATGTATGTATGTATGTATGTATGTATGTATGTATGTATGTATGTATGTATGTATGTATGTATGTATGTATGTATGTATGTATGTATGTATGTATGTATGTATGTATGTATGTATGTATGTATGTATGTATGTATGTATGTATGTATGTATGTATGTATGTATGTATGTATGTATGTATGTATGTATGTATGTATGTATGTATGTATGTATGTATGTATGTATGTATGTATGTATGTATGTATGTATGTATGTATGTATGTATGTATGTATGTATGTATGTATGTATGTATGTATGTATGTATGTATGTATGTATGTATGTATGTATGTATGTATGTATGTATGTATGTATGTATGTATGTATGTATGTATGTATGTATGTATGTATGTATGTATGTATGTATGTATGTATGTATGTATGTATGTATGTATGTATGTATGTCCGCCGACATTGTTCGGCGTGTCGGATACTTAAGAGAGCATAGAGGATAACCCCCCCTTAGTCCCCCCCCCCGGGACACGTCAATTACACAGCGTTTCGTCCCCCCCCCCCTCCCCACGTACGGCAATTTGATGACGGTCTGGGGAGCTGCCGCCTCTCTCTGCCGGCTCAGGTTTGGCGCTTCCTTTTGCTGACTTCCTTGACCACCTTCTTTGCGTGACTTGTAGAGGGAATACAAATGAGTTAAGCCTTGCCTGTAACAATAACTCTAATGTCCCCCCAATTTCCCCCCAACTTTCCCCCAACGTCCCCCCAATGTCCCGTGAATTCCCCCAAATTTCCACCCAATCTCCCGCAAATTTCCCTCCAAATTTCCCCCCCACATTCCCAAATTTCCCCCCAATTTCCACCAATTTCGCCCAATTTTCCCTCGGTTCCCCTTCCCCCCTCCAATGTCTTCACAATTTCCCCACAATGTTCCCGAAATGTCCCCTTAATTTCCCACCAATTTCCCCCCCAATTTCCATCCAACTTGCCCCCAATTTCCCCCCCCCCAGTTTTTCCCAAATGTCCCCGCAAATTCCCCAAGAATCCCCCCCAACATCCCTCCAAATTTCCCCGGGGACATAACGAGGAAATGATACGCAGTGCCAGGACGTGAAAGGAAATGACGGGACATGAGAAGGAAATGAAGGGGAAATGAAGGGGCAATCAAGGGGGTAGATAAAGATGGAGAGGAGACGGAGAGAGACAGAGAGAGAGAGAGAGAGAGAAGAGCAGCGCACAAAACAGGAAGAGAAGAAGAGGTCAATGTCGGCGGACTGAGCCGGAGGCTCTAACGTATGTATGTATGTATGTATGTATGTATGTATGTATGTATGTATGTATGTATGTATGTATGTATGTATGTATGTATGTATGTATGTATGTATGTATGTATGGTATGTATGTAATGTATGTATGTATGTATGTATGTATGTATGTATGTATGTATGTATGTATGTATGTATGTATGTATGTATGTATGTATGTATGTATGTATGTATGTATGTATGTATGTATGTATGTATGTATGTATGTATGTATGTATGTATGTATGTATGTATGTATGTATGTATGTATGTATGTATGTATGTATGTATGTATGTATGTATGTATGTATGTATGTATGTATGTATGTATGTATGTATGTATGTATGTATGTATGTATGTATGTATGTATGTATGTATGTATGGTAGGTAGGTAGGTAGGTGTAGGTATGTAGGTATGTAGGTATGTAGGTATGTATGTATGTATGTATGTGTGTGTATGCATGCATGCATGTATGTATGTTTGTGTGTGTGTGTGCATGCATGCATGCATGTATGTATGTTTGTGTGTGTGTGTGTTAGCGTTTGCGTTTGCATCCCCGTCTGCATCTGTGTTTGCGCTTGCGCATGTTCTTACGCTTGCGCTTGCGCTTGCTTGCGCTTGACTTTGCGTTTGCGTTGATCGTGTCCGTGTCTGTGTTTGTGCTTGTGTTTGCGTTTGCGTTTGCGTGTGTGTCTGCGTCTGTGTCTGTAGGTTCTGGAACAAACGCTCTGGATTCTCGAGACCCCGCCTGTATCAGTTTTACTGCTGCCCAGAAGCGCCATCGACCGCATGATCAAGATAAGATCGCTGATCGACTGCTCCTCCGAATCCAAAAGCCGGGACCCTCGGAGCGCCTGAAGCACCGAAAACTAGAGATGTCATCCCTGCATAAGGATATTCGACATTTTGTGCACGACACACGCGGGATTTGCTCACCATCACACAACGGATCTCCTGAGCCTCCATCCTCCGGACCACTGCTTCTTGCCTATCTAGCAGCGCCGCCCAAGCCCCTTCAAACGAGGCGTCCTGCATCACGGACTCTCAAGTTTCAGCAAGCTATGAGTCACACCATATGCGCCAGGATCCTGCCATTGACCCCGTGACAACGACGCATTTGCTGATCCTCTGGGAGACTTTGATTTTTTCTCCGATCATCTCACCAACACTCCTGCAAATCATTTTTAGGCGCAAGTGACCAGGTGCTAGCATATCGTGGTCATTGATGTTGATCCTTCTTTGGGCAAATTTTAGCCCGCATTGACCATACGTGGATTCTCATGAGAAGCAGCCCTCGCTATCCAGAAGTCCTCCAACGCATACTCCATTCCGGTTGCGCTCAATACAAGCCGCCGAGAAATGGGTCTACTGCTAGCGCATCTGCATCGTGTGTCCCCCTTGGTAAGCCAATGCCTGCGAAAGTGCCTGGCTCAAGAAGCGCGCGTGAAATGTCAATCAAATCCTGCACTAGATGATTGAGGGCGGAGGCCTCTTGGACTTTTCCGAGATCTGCTTTTCCCACAGATTTGGCATACTCATCTGACAGAGTGGCTAGCCAATTGCGCAGTCTGCGCGAAGCTAGTCCCAGTCCACAAGAAGCTAGACTGATTCTAAGGGTGCTACAGTATATTTAGTTCAGGTGGACGTCATTTTAACCCTCGAGAAGCTAATTCACATCTACATATTTTTAGTATGCGGAAATCCAAGAGTGCCTCTGAGCTGTATGCTGATGCAAGCCAGGAAATAGTTTAGGATTGGTTCTCAACTGGTTGCTAAGCTTATCTTCGGCCAAGTGCAGGGATGGCTTCAGTAAGCGTGCAGTGATTCACACTTCCAAAATTCCAGTAGGATGCAAACAAACAAAGAAACAAAGAAACAAGCAAGCAAGCAAGCAAACGAACGAACGAACAAACGAACGAACGAACAAACGAAGAAACAAACAAACAAACAAACAAACAAACAAACAAACAAACAAACAAACAAACAAACAAACAAACAACAAAACAGACCTGCGCTGAAACATCATTGGAAGGTAAGACAGGAATGTGCATCCGGCCTCCCAAATTGCACCCAGAATCATAAACCTGCAAATTGAGGCACGAGTCCAAAGCTTTGACAATGGCATCTGACTGTGTCAACACCACACGATCCGAAAACTCATCTGCCAAAGCAATTGCGGAATGACAATACTTTCGGTTGAAATTTGAAATCAGTTGATACTTTCCATGAGAGGATGAGCTGATAGTCTCCGTGCCTTTGCACAGGCAGGTCTGTGTTTGCTTTACCCCAGACACTGGGTCTTGCCAACCGCATTGTCTGGCATCCGGCTTGCCTTGACCTTCTCCCGGCATTCGACGATCCTCTGTTCCAACTGCTTCTCCTGGCCGCTATGACGCAAGTTGGCATGCTCCCGCTGCAGCTTGGCAACGCGGGCAACCCGTCCGTACCTTGGCCAAAAGCTTCTGCTCCGTTTCGCACAGATCCTGCGCATGGGGTGCCGCTCTCTACACCTGCTGAGCCGCAGTGACCCGCGATATTTTGGAACCTAAAAGGGAGATCCCAAAAAGACACCAAAAGCTGCCGACAGCGTGTAATTGGTATCGGGGCCAAAACTTGTCCATGTCCAGCGGGAAGTCGGACCGTGGTTTGCGTCGAATAACAGCAATCTTCTGAAGAACAAATGCCAGAGATCGCGCGACTAAGCCCGATGGTTTCTCAACCCCAAAACCTCAAAGCCGGCAGAATCGCAATCTCACACATAGAGTATGCTACCAAAGTTGCTCTGAGACATGTGTGATAAGTCAGTGGCAGCGTGGAAGCGGGCGCGTGCGACCGTGCCTAGCGCTCGGCAGGTGCGCCAATAGCGCTGAACAGTTCTGCGAGTGCTGAGCGGGCGCTTAGTGACGGCTTTGAGGAGATGGACAAGCGGCAGCAACCTCGGTGCACCTGTCAAAGGTCCAGCCAGCCACCTCGCAGTCAAAGCGGCCAGAAGGAACCAATTCGCCAGCAATTGCAACGTCCCTCCGGCGAAGCGCCACACACTTATTGCATGAGATTCACTCAGCAGAAAGGCAGGTCGCTCTCACCGCCGGTGAGGTGCGATGTGATTAACATGTCGGCAACGCGAAACAACACACAGACAAGACAACGACACATCAAGCCAACCACGACACAGGTCCCAAGCTGCCCCCGCAGGGACCCATGGCGACTAAAAAGCACAGCAGTTTCGGATCCGCTGGCCCAGCCTTGACGGGATGCCCGAAGAGCCAGGGGTGGGCGTCGACTCTACAAAAACAAAGCAAAAGCAGGACACCCGTAATCCAGGGTGGTCCTTGGCTGGCAGCTTGAGGGCGACGCGTGGACGACATCTGCCTCACGCCTCACGCATCTCGAGATCGTATTCCGTGCTGAGTTTTGGCGGGCTTTGAGGGGCCATGTGTGGGCTGCTCGCCAAGACGGAGGGCCGCTGGAGCCTTCCCGTTGTGGCAGTGTTGGTTCAGCGCGCCAAGCCTGGCGACTTCGCGTCTTGCGTGTGTGCGTGAGCCCAGGAAGAGCTTTGCCGGAACTTGGAAATGATCAGAAGAGCAACCAAGCGAGCTCGGAGCCACCATGTCAAACACAAGGACTCCATCCAAACTGGAATTCCTCAGCTGGCTTGTTGGGTGGCCACAAAGTCAGACCATCTTCCTTGGCTGGCTTGTGCTCAGACCGTCGGCAACATCACCAAATTCAGTCAGGTTCAACCGGCCATCCTTCTTGGCCAGGCGCTCGGCAAAGGGCCCGCCCACTCCGCTCTGCAGGCGTTGGGCGCCAACCAGGACGACAATGCCGCTGAAGCTTGGTGGCGGCACCGACGTCCACAGGAATGGCAAGGCGACGTTTGGGTGACTGACCCGAAGGCATGGGCAAGCCAGAAGGAAGGCGCAGAACCGACATACTCGAAAAGGGATCTACCCCATCGCGTGCCTACGCATCTTGCAGGTCGTTGGCCATGCTGACCAATTCAAATTGGGATTCCGACTCTGGGAGAACCAGAAGGGAAGCATTCTCCCCGTTGAAGTCACCAAATCCTTCGTAGGAACGACCGCATCCTGTCAGTCCTGAGGGTCGGGCTTGGCCTTCTCTACCGGAGCTGGCCTGCCCAGACTCCGCCGCCTTCTTCTTCTTCTTCTTCTTCTTCTTCTTCTTCTGCTGCCGCCTCTGCCTGTCTCCACCTGCCCCATATCACCCGCCTCACCCTCGGTAGGCTTCTTCATCCAAGGACGCTCTTGAGCAAGCTGATAAGTGGGCTGATGTTGCTTGAAGCAACAGAGTCAAGTCTGTCAGTTCCGCTTCCTCGCGCTTATGTCCACCAGGACCGGGGCGGGAGCCTTGAATCAACAATGAGTCCAAGGCTAAAAGTTCCCAAAAATCAACACGTTGGCCATATCATATGCCATCTTGTCTCTTGTCTCTTGTCTCTTTAGAGACTAGAGCATTCGACCATTTTCAGTCCGGCGCACACCATTCAACATTATGCATTGGCAAGAACTTGCCTTCGCCCACCTTTGGATTGCCGTCCCCGTCGGGGTGGCGGAGGGGATTGCCAGTGCGGACCCCAAATGAGATGAGGTCGGGCACTCAGAGTGGGCATTGCAGTTGTACTCAACGCTGGCTTGTGTGGATGGCTGCTGGCCAAGCCATTCGTGAACAGAACGCTGCTTGGCAGCGCGGGTAGCTTGTTGGAGATGGCATGTCCAAGAAATCGGCAAAGCGTCAGCCTCTAAGCACTTAGCGGCCTGAAGAAAAACCGGGCAAACGGGCTTGACCGAAAGCTGAGACGGTGCATTGAGTTCAAGTTGGGAAGAGACGCAGTGTCCATATCGACGTGGCCCACGAGGCGTGCAGCCTTCTGACGGAAGGGTAGTGTCGTCGGCACTACCCCGCCGCCCTAAGAAGAGATTTTAACTCCTCGCAAGTCAATTGCATTTGACGTCATTGCAAGGAGTCATTGCAAGGAGTCATTGCAAGGAGTCATGAGAGTCATTGCAAGTTGCAAGGAGCCAAGTGCATGGACTCAGGTGCAAGTTGCAAGTGCACGGAGTCAAGTACAAGTTGCAACATTGCGGTCATCTGAGAAAAAAACAGCATCAAAAGCACTAATGACAAACACCAACTTCACGCCAGTGAGACACTATCGTCGCCGGAGCCGAAAAGCTGCTGGGCTCCTGCAAGCGGAGACCCCAACAAAACAAACAATAGCCTGGCCTGCGCGCACAGCTGCTCCACGACAGCGGCAGCCAGATCAGCTTTTGACAGCACGAACTTCGGCATGCCGGCGGACACCCAGCTGCCGGGCAAGCGCACGAAGTGGGGCTTGAGCTTTGGCCGCCACCTCTTGCTGGAGCCACGCCTTGCCCTTCTCCGACAAACCAGCACGAAGCGTCGCCACGACAAGCTCTGCCTCGTCCTGCGATGTCCATGAGATGAGGCAACCCGTCCGTAAGAAACACGACATGAAGCCATCTGGTGCCAACATTTCGGCCATCCACAAAACATCATCAAAAACAATATCGTCAAACACCGACTATGACCAAGCTTGGCTCCTGCCAACAAACATCACAGCAAAACAAACACCAGCAAAACTTTGAGGATTTCGAGCCTGGCCCGTGGGCACAGCTGCTCCACGACAGCGGCAACTAGGTCTGCCTTTGACGCGTTGCTGCCTGCGACCCGCTGGCGCACATCCAGCTGTCGGGCGAGCGCGCGAAGTTGGGGTTGGGCTTTGGCCGCCACGTCGTGCTGAAGCCACGCTTTGCCATGCTGGGCCACGCCAGCCTGAAGCCTAGCTACTTCGAGCTCCATGACTTCTGCTTGAACCAACTCTCATTCGCATGATGCCACACGACAACCAGCCGTGCGTGCCGTGCCCGTAAATATGCCTCTTGTCACCCAACGCCTCGACCACAAAAGCAAATGACAGAATGGAATTTCGTTCATGAGCGCAAGCTTCCCGCAACTTCTTTCATGATGAGAACTCCTTGCGTCAAACTCCTAGAGGACGAGTGGCCTGAAAGCGTAACTCGCCACGATGTGCGGCAAACTTGTTTAGCCCCGGCCTGGCACATACGCAAGTTGCTCTGCGCAAAATTATTTGCGCAAGTTACTCTGTGCAAGTTGCAGTGTGTGCAAGTTGCTCTGCGCAAGTTGCTCTGCGCAAGTTGCTCTGGGCACTGCGCAAACTGGTCGGTGCAAGTTGGTCTGCGCAAGTTGCTCTACGCAAGTTGCACTGTGCAAGTTGCTCTGCGCAAGTTGCTCCGCGCAAGTTGCTCCGTGCAAGTTGGTCCCTGCAAGTGGCTCCCTGCAAGTTGCTCTGTGCAAATTGCTCCGCGCAAGTTGCTCCCTGCAAGTTGCTCTGCGCAAGCTG